AACAGACCCAAAGCAAACAACTGAAGCCACCCTGCCGTTTCACGCGCTTGGAAGGTCCTGTGCGGAGCTGCGGCAGATGCTTGCGGGCGAGTGGGGCTGCTTGGGCAAGGAGATGGCCTTGGGCTGGCTTGGTGGTGGTGTTTGTGTGTTTGTTTCTTGGTTTGTTTGTTTGTTGTTCTGTTTGTTTGGGTTTGGTTGTTGGTTTTGATTTGGCTGGCTTGGTGTGTGTTTGTTTGTTTGTTTGTTTGTTTGTTTGTTTGTTTGTTTGTTTGTTTGTTTGTTTGTGTGTTTGTTTTTTCTAGTTGTTTGTTTGTCTATTGTGGTTTGTTGGTTTGTGATTTTTTTGCTGTGCTTGTTTGTCGTTCTTTTGCGTGCTTGTTTATTCCAGGGTGCCGAAGTAAAGGGCAACCCAAGCTCATTTTGAGGGTTCTGCCATGAGACTTGAGACAATCCCCACAGGCCCACGGGTGAGATGGGTCCCTGAAAGAGTGTAGAGGGAAATGGTTTAGGCCTCGTTCCTCGGAGGGTACACTCCCTCAGACTAACATGGAAGCTCCCAGAAGGCCTCTGTAAATGGAACCAAGTCTTCCAAAGGGGTCCTGGAAGCTTCTATGTTAGCCTGGGGCAGGGTAAGTTGTCTTGATCTCTAATTTGGGAAACCCTTCCCTGGTGATTTGGATTGGTGGTTTGGATTTGGAGTTGAACCCCCTGGCTTTTGTGGAGGGCAAATGGGAGGTTTCAACATGGGAAGCCACGGGAGCAGCCAAATTTGGGCTTTCCCCTTTTAGGCACCATTCAGAGACAAACCCACATCACCTTTAACTCCAATGAAAAGGGAGTTTTGGTTCGGTGGGTGCGTAGGGTTGCTTCAGCCACGTTCCGTTCACCCGAAAAAGGCATTTGTCCGATGGCCAATGGGTGCTCAGCATACGTTGAAGCCTCCCAGCTTGAAGGGTTTGCTGTTAACCCAGCAGCCCAGCATAACCCAACAGCCCATGCAACACCACAGGCCAGCCATATCCTAAACCCTAAACCACCGATCCAGCCCACCAATTTCAGCTGAAGTGAGGCAGTGGCGGATCGCCTGGCAGTTGCTCCCGAACAGCCTGGTCACCACGAATTCCGTGCTCAATGCGCCGCGGAGAGGATTCGCCGAGCTTTTGTTTGACGTCCATACTGTGGATGGTTGCGACATCCATAAACCGCACTACTTTGAAACCATGGTTGAAGCTATTGCTTGTTGGTATTTACAGGGGAATCGACTCATTCCAGGGTTTCTTAGGTGGTGCAGGATTTCCCCATCCACAGTAAGGTTGGCTTAAAGTCGAAGGAACATGTTTGGGGCCCTTCGGCTAATTGTCCAGATGGCAGCAGAGCTATGGGAATTACAGTAAATGGAAGTCATCCCCAATACTTATCCAAAGAAAGGGATTTGTACCACAGAGGTGTGTGTGTGTGTGTTTAAGGAACCTGCTCTTCAAGTGTTTTGGAAGTCAGGAAACCTTCTAAGATGGGCAGAACAGCTGTCCCTCCCACGGTGCCATAGTACCTGACAGAGGGGCTCTTGAGGAAATTCATACTTTCCCACCGGTGCTGGGAGTGTTATCTTCCACCATTTGGGACGGGAAAAAAGAACACGCGTGCAGCACACTCCTTGACACAAATTGAACCCATACGGGACATGGACAATAAAGTGGACGGCGACCTACTCGCCCCTAGGCAAGTCAATCTTCGCGGCTTTTGATTCTGCCCGGGCGAGCGAGCAACCGGACATATGCGATGTGTGGTTGCCCATCCCCTTTCACCATTCAGCCATCCTCTTCCAACGCCACGCAGCTAAACCACAGATTGCACGAGCGGAAACATGGGGAGGTGATGACACTCACCTTGGCACATCTAATTCAGTGCAAGGATTTTGAGAGTTATTCCTCTCTTTGCTTTGGGCGTTTTCTTTGGGGGGCTTCCGGAGTCGTACCTAGATAGCCCCAAAAAAGCTGCATTGCCACACATGTTTTGAGGCCGACCAGGACCCAGCAGTGTCTTGCGGGACCTGAGGGCAACCCTTTTCTTTTGGCGGGGGGGGGTCGATTTGAAAACAACCTAACTGACCCTTGTGAATGTGGCTTTGGGACCCCCCACAATAAAAGTAATTGGAATGACCCCTTGAAATGTACCCTCCCTCCAACTAACATGGCAACTAACAGAGGTCCCAGGTACCTCCCCACAGGAGCCGTGTTAGTTGGAGTTACAACTTCTTGCAGCCGCACCACCTGGGCAGACTGGGCCTTCGGATTTTCCCTTCTGCGCAACGAGGCCTGCGCTCAGGCGAGGCGCTGGTTGGCAGGGCTGCGACTGCTGCATGGTTTGCCGGAGGCGGGGGGATCCCCCAAACGGGATCCCCACAGAAGCCTAGGTGCCGAGAGGCGCCCTGCTTTTGTTTTTGGAGGGTGTGGTTTCCCGGTACAATCAACCAACAAAAAGGAGCGCCCTTGCTTCTTCTGAGGAAGCGCCCCATCACCCAAAAATGAGGGTGCACTCATGGCTGAGTAGCCCCTGACTTGAATTTTTCTTGTCGATGCCAAGAGGGGATTGTGTTTTTTCCAGGCCCCCCTTTACCACCCTTAGTCTCAACATGTTTTCATTGAAAGGGTGCGAAAGGAATACAAGAAGTGTATCAACACCAGGGAAGGACTTCTGCAGCCAACTGTCAAAACCACTCATTTCACAAGTTCCATCCTGTTGGCCATAAGCTTGAATGGTTGGAACAACCCCGGCAAATAGCACCACCGATTCCCACCAACAGAAGTTTGCAAATTCCATTCTCAGGCATATATATATCTTATTTGCTTTTTTTTTCTCAAAAAAGAGAAGAAACAAGCACAGAAGAAGACAACCAAGGAAGAACTCCAACTGTTTGGAGGCGTACCCCAGGTTGGGACTGTTGCAAGCCCGCCCCACATCGCGGGCCGACCCCCACCCAGGCCAGTTGTTGATTCTCGTGCATATACACAGACATCATAGTTCTAAGTGTCGCATGTATATCATTGGATGTGGATATCTCTATATATATATATAGGTGTGTGCATATATGCACGATTCATACAAACCTGCAGGGCCATCTGAAGCTTGTGATGCTCAAAGGCGCCCAAGAGACCTCCGAAGGCACTGCCCGATTGGACTCGAGGCGCGGCTGCAGCCGGACCTGCTGAGCCTCAGCGCCGCAGCGCAGGCGACGCGGACGGCCTGGCAGAGGTGCCTCAGCCTGCAGGCGGGCACGCGAGCCGAGAGCTTGCGAGCCGTTTTCTCTCGATTTTGGCGCCACTAAATGTAGTTGTGGGCTTGGTTGGTCGTTTGTGGTCGTTTCTTGGCGGCCATTTCTTGGCGCCGAGCCCTTGGCACCCTCTAAATCCCACCCAAAAATCGCAGTTGCCCAAAGCGAGACGACCTGAACTGACCTGAGCTGGTTTCCCCATGTGTTCATTTCTGCTTTGCACAGCTTAGCCCCTCCACTACTGTGAATGCACGAAGCTTCCAAAGTTTTCCCCTCGAAGCTGGGTTTTTTGTTTCACCTGCTGAGGCCAGGTTGCGCTTAGGATGTGTTCAGGTTCCAGAACACATGTCGAACTTAGGTCTTGTTGGCACTGGCCGCATCGAACCCTTGGCATCCCTCTTTGGCAGGAGCTTGGCGCGCAGTGTCGTGACGAGATCTTCTATGAGGCACGGACCTCACAATGTCTCAGGTTACCCTTAATTGGTTTGGATTTGTGGTTTGGGGAGTTGAAATTATGGTTCTTGCAGGGAGTAGATGGGAAACCCCTCAACCAGCAAACCACCGGGCTCCATACAAACCATTTGGAAAGAGTTTCGCACTGTTTTGCCACGCTCAAAATCCCGATTGGACTTGCCACGCGGAAAATCCCCCCGCCGGATTTTGGGACAGGCCTTGCTCCGAGCCCTCGCGCCCCACCAGCTGGTGCCGCAGCTGCGGTGCCTGCGCCAGGACGCGCTCTCCAGCTGGGCAGAAAAGAAGCGCCCAGGGCGCTGGTATGACCCGTTTGGGCAGCGACCAAAGCTCCCCCGCAAAAGGTCCGATTTTGGAGGTCTTCGGGTTTATAGCATTTATGACGGTATGACCATGCCAGTACACCAAAAGTCAACAGGTACGCCAAAAATTCAACAGGTACACCAGGCACGTGCAACCTTGGTGTATATCTGGGCAACCGGCATTTACAGCGAGCTCACCGGTTCGGGGGAAGGCGAGCTCATCCATGAAGGTGCCTTCACTTGCGGTTTCTCCCATTTCCTCTTTGGAAGGCATGGCAAGTTGTGGAGATCTACCTGGCGATCCATGTGTACATTGCACACGCACTGCATATTGTTTAATTGCAGATATCTAGACTTGTACTTGCAGCATGCATAAATGGAGTGAGTTGTGCATCGATGTTCTCACATATGCATGGCATACAGACTATGTACATGTGCGGTCCAGGGTTACACAAAACCGGGCCCTTCTTCGAGAGACATTCCTGTCATGTCACATGTCAAATTGGCTAGCGGAGGAGGATTGACGTTCCAGACACGTGCAATGATTTTCTAGAGGGAATTCCTCCAGGTTCCATGTTTAGTTGTAGCGCAATGGCTCAGGATCACGCCCTTGCCAATCCAGACTGCATGGGTTCGAAGTGTGATTGAGAATTGGCATGCCAGATCCGCCGCTGACAGGATGGCTGGGATGTGGAATTGTGCTTTGTGCTTGATCGCATTCATGCAGGCCACCTCAAGACTGGGTGAGATGGCGTCATATATGACGGCTCCCTTCGCAGACGCGGTGAACTTGATCGGGTTTTGTCCCACAACACGCACGGCTCACCAACCATTCCACCAACTTTTGGGCCAGTGAAAACAAGTGTGTGTCCCTATTTTTTTCCAGCAACCTTTCCGCCATTTGTTGGCTCCATTAAAGAATATGTAAGTGTCCTTAGGTCCAGTTGCACTTGGGCTGAAGGAAGCTCGCCACATTTGCTCTGCACATTGGACTGCACGTTCATCGCCATGCGCCGTTGTCCGCAGCTGCGCCTCGCACGAGCTTTTGCCGCCTCAGCCAAGCCTGGCGCCGGGAGGAACCGCAGGGATGGCCAACCAGACGGATATGAGCAACGGATACTGGGGTTCCAGGGTCTAAATACTTAGAATGGCGTGGGGGTAAATAAAACCAAGTTTGGAGCTGAGGGTCAAGAAACTCTTAGTAATTATTTTGCTCCTTACAGACTATTATCGGTTTTGCAGCAGCAGCTTGCAGCAGTGGACCTTTCCTATAGCAGGCGGCTTTTCGTCCGGCGTCTTCTCGGTTCTGTAGGCCTTGTGGCCTTTTGGCGTGTCCATTGGGCACCTCTATGGGTGTGTCCGTTCTTAGGATGTGGACCCAAAATGATGGTGGTTGCATTTTGGCCCATGAACAACCATGTCAAAAGGGTACCTGTGTAAAAGGTTTGGTTTCCCTGTGGTTTCCAGTTTGCTTCTTGAGGTTTGAAATGCATCCACATGTGGTCCGATTCATTCAAAACATGCACCCAACTGTGGTCTAGCTCCTCATTTGCCCAAGACCGACTGTTGAAGCTACTGCGTTTCCATTTGTTCGTTCTTCCTGGAGGTTCCAGCATTCATTGAAAATTGCAGCCGTTTTTGGGCAGAAGCGGGGTATGATTTACCTTTGGCACCTTGACTAAAAGTAAACCAAACCAGGAAAAACAAAAGGTCAAAAGGTCGGCTGTGGGCAAGTGAGGTTTACAGGCTCAAGCCACTCTAATCGAATACAGTGGTTTACCCCTCTGCTAAGTTGATTCTATGATGTCGTCCACTACCCCCAACCCACCAAAGGAAGAAGGGGTCCTTGCATTGGACGATGTTAGACTAGACGGGGAGTCTTTGGCCAATAAGAATCTTAGAGATAGCCTGCGGTGTCACGCTTTGTCACCGCTCGGTTGTGCACGTTTCTGGCAATTTTTGTGCTGTACCTGCCCTGGGGAAGTTTGGAACGAGGCAGCTTCTTGAAGGTTAGATTAGGTTCCTTGGTACCCGTCACCCTAATTTGTCAAATTGATTCGGAGGACTGTGCCAGTACGGGTGCCAAGCCCCTTTCGTAATTCATTCATCGGAGATGTAGGGTCCCCGTCTAACTCTGAAGGCAACATTTTCTCATTACCTCATCAAAATGACATTCAGATCTTTTAATACCTTTTTTTGGAACCCCGCTTTAATCCACCAACAAAAGGGGTATGTTTGAGAATGTGATTTTAATTAGCTGGCAAAATATGGGACGCCCGCATGATGTTTTTCCTGTTGGTCTCCAACCCATTATGGTTTAACCATGCCCTTTACTTACACACATCTACCCGGAAATTGTGCCACCTAGTTTCACCAATTGGCAGCTTGGGGAGTGGAACCCGTTGTTCTTTTCGCCTGAGGATACACGGGGCCCCCAACCAAGAGGCTGACTTCTGGGTTTTCCTTAAAACCCACCCCGTTTTGGTTTCCCTGAAGCACCTGAAAAGAACAACACCCACCCCGCCACCCCCCCACCCTCCACCAACCCACCACCCCACCACCCCTCACCCCACCCCCGGCAACCCGCTTGGGTCAGGACCTACGGCCTGGGGGCTTTGTGCGGCGTGGGCCTCGGCGGCTGCGGCTTCGGCTTGGCGCTGGGGCAGTGGGATGCCCAGCTGCGGCTCCGGCAGCTGCCGGCCTGCGGCCGCGTGTGCTGCGAGGCACACCGGCGCGGGCGGAGGGGGGGGGAAGTGGGGATGGCGGGGGGATGGTGGGGGGATGGTGGGGGGGGGGGGCAGACGGGGAGAGGGTGGGTGGTGGGTGTGGTGGGTGGGGAGTCGGAGGTGGGTGTGGTGGGGTAGTGCGGGCGGGGAGAGGTGGTGCAAGTGAGCTTCTGGAGTTGCCCGCAATGGGGTTTTGTGCTTGGTTGTTTTTTGCAATATGGCTATGAGTTTTAACGGGGACCCCCTCCCAAATGGTTGGTGGACATAAATTCCCACCCCTCATAAAGATTCATGCCCATATACTTCAGCGGTTTTACCGCCTGAAAGTCAGCAGCCCAGGACTTGACAGCAGCACAGAAGGCGCTTCCTGAGAAGTTGCGGGCCATTGCCACTCGGCACTGCAAATGCATTTTGGCCAGCGGAAAGTGAAGATGGTTTCCCCTCTAGCCAGCGGAAAGTGAAGTGAGAATCAGTTCCTCCAACACAGCCAGGAGGTGTTCTTTGAAGGTTGCATTGGAATTGGAGCCGTTGAGGTTGGCAAGCAGCATGTGGCGGAGAATGTGATTGAGTCCTGGCAGAATTAAATCGTTTTGGGTCGGACTTGTCCGACACCTTATGAATTCCAAGGTCTTCCCCTACTTTAAGTCACACACCCATTGAAATAGACAAGCCCTTTTCATGTGTCCCCTTTTTTGAGAGGAGGCGACCCCTCGGTGTCGAAAAGCCGGATTTTCAAAATGTGTGTCCTGTTTGTTTGGCGCTTGTTGCGCTGCGCCCTTTCCATGCCTGCCAGAATAGCCCAAGGAGCACCTTCTGAGGGGTCTTGTGGGGGGTGGTGTGGGTCCTTAGCTGCAAAGTTGGCGAGGGAAGCCCCACACGGACTAACATGTTCACAAGTTTCAGGGAGTTTGCCTTGGGGCCTTGGCAAAGGTGTAGGTCAGTGAACGGTTGACACTTGCATGTTTGGTGCTTGCAGCTGTTTGCTTTCACCATTGGTGGAATCCATCAATGTTATTGAGACTTGGACAGGCTTTCAGCTTTCCCGCTATTTCCCCTTTTGGTCAGGGCAAATTTAACATGTTGCTTTTGGCGGGGCCATGAAAAAGGACCGTTTTTTGGGCCGCCTGTGTCCATTTTGCTGTTTCCAAGGCGATCATCTTTCAGGTTTTCCTATCTTTCCCATGTGCCTCTTCCCCGGCCACCACCATTTTCCCCAAATTTCCCGGCGTTTGGTCTCCATGCCGCCATTTGGCCGCCAATCTCGTCTTCCGCCCAGAAAGCCGAAAATCATCGGGCCAACTGCCGAGAGGAGACGGGGACCATGGTGGGCCAGGGCCACGCGCTCCTCGTGGCGCGCCCGGGCACCTTGAAGGAGGCCCAGGAGGCCATTCCTTTCGAACGCGGAACGGGTCCACGTGATCCAGGCGATCAGCGCACCAAAAGAATGCAGTTGTATGAATATACTCAGATAGGCATTTATCTTTTCAAAACTATATATATATATATAATATTGATTTATATTTGTGTATGTAGGTACATGTTGATGTGATTGCGAGGCGGGGCAACATGGTATGAATTAAACAATACGGGGGGTTGTTTAATATACTTAGGGGGCCCTAAAAACTGGTCGGTGTCCTTCCGATTTTCCTGTAGCATAGTGAAAGGGAGGGCCCAATTATGAAGGATCATTATCAACGTGTGACAAGCTCACCGATTACTGCTTGGTTGGTTTGTGGCTTGTTGGTCGGCTGGTTGGCTGGTTGGCTGGCTGGATGGGTGGGTTGATGTTTGTAGGGCGGCCAAAACGACCTTTGTGAGAGAAAAGGAGCGCCCGGAAAGCATTGACAAACCGTGGGGATACAGCCTGCTGACCACGCCCCCAGGAATGGTTGCATCCTGGCGAGGAAAACTCCAAGAGCCTTCTTCCATAGTCTTAGTGAGGATATGTCAGTGAGGATTGAATCTGGAGTCCTGATTCGGAGCAATAGCAAGGGAGCTAGCGGAAGGTCCACAAGCTTTTGATGCTTGTTTCTTCTTGGGAAGGCACAACTGGAACCGCTTTTTTTTTTTGCATTAGCCCCCGTGTGTTTCCCTGGTTGGTTAATTGGTTGGTTCGTTTGTTTGTTCGTTGGCTGGTTGGCCACATCACTAGCATCACTTGGACCTAGGGCTGCTATTGGCGGCAGTTGCGACTTGCTCGGGGCTGGCTGAATCACGGGTTTAGGCTGGCTTGGATTTTACTGAGGGGGGGTCTTGGTTGGTTCGTTGGGGGTTCAGTTGGGTCTTGGGTTCGTTGGCCTTGGCAGACTCGGTTTAGAGTTTGCCTGGAGGTTGCTTTCGGGTATCGTTGAGTGAGTTTTGGGCTGATTTGGTTGGGTTTGGAGCGGCCCCAGGTCCAAGTGAGGCTGGTGCTGGGGATGCAGGTGCAAAAGCCGGGGCGGGTAAAATCGGTTAGAACTTGCTGGTGCTCAGGGAATGTGGGCATGAACCCGGGGTCCCCTTAAAGGAAACCTCCAGTTGGATGGCTTTGTTGAGGGTCATTCCATTTCTCAGGGCCCCTGATGCGGCAATGAACCTGATTCCTTTAAAGGAAGCCACCAGTTGGATGGTTGTTTTAGGGGGCATTCCGTCTCTAAGGGGCCCCTGCATCTCTCGCACCAGCCAAGACCAAACACCCCAAGTGACGTCCAATGTTGCAGGTGCTGAAGGCCTGCGTGGAGGCCGATGTGGCAGTTTACCCCCAAGGCGCGATGAGGGGAGGGGCTGGGGCTCAGGCCCGGGGTTCGGACACGGAAGCTGGGATGGAGTCGATGTTGGCCCACCTCTTGGGATTTGTTTCTTTTTGGAATCCTTGGCTGATATGCAGGGAGCAGGCCCTTGCAAGCATTGATTTCTGTGTTAATTTGGACATTTTGCAAAGTTTACCCAGATCCAGCCCTGAGCAGTTTCCGCGACCTCGAGTCTCAGGAGCCAAGACCGGCATCACTGGAGGCTCAGTGCCGCGAGATGGGGGCGACCGACCCAGCGTGGTCATCAACATGAAGCGCTTGGAGAAGCTTGGCTGAGAGCACGGCCTTCTTGTTGGGCACGTGTCAAAGTAGGGAGACCCCAGAATGGTGGAATTCCGGTTGGTGTCCCTTGATACCAAGGTGACACTCAAAGAATGCGAAAGGGCCTCTCAGCAGGCTTTCCGCTCAAAAGAAAGGGCCCCCCAGTGTTTCCCAAAATGAGTTGGAACCCTTGAGGTGAATTTTGGCTGCCTCCGCAAGAGGACAGAGTGTTTTCCTAAATTCTATAGGGGTTACCGCTTTGGGGACATCAACTCCCCTTGGCTTAGTCGACTTTTTTGGGAAACAAACAAATCGTGCGCGCCTTTTTCGAGAGATTCCTTGTCCTCGCCTAGTGGGGAAACCACAAGTTGAACACTTCCGTTTCAAATGTCCCGACTGAGCGGCTCACCCGTGTTTACGGCAGCTTTTTACGGGAGGCCAAAGGACAAGCCACCCATGTTCCGATTCCCCGAGTCCGTTTCCGACGGCGACCCATCTCGGAGCCGATTTCGGCTTCAGGAAGATCCTGCCCATCGGCGAGGGCCAGCAGGTGCTGTGCTTCGCAGGGGCCGGCATCTTCAGCGTGCAGGAGGCCTTGCGCCTTGGCCTTGTGGCCGGCCGAAGGGCCGAAGGGTGAGCTTCAGCGTTTTACAAGCGGGGGCAGTGGCGTGGCTTGAAATAAACCCCAAAAATAGTTTTTGAGACCCCCGTGACATATTCACTTGGGACCCAGTTCGAAGGTGAACCAAGAGGACGCCAGCCCATTGCGCTATTTTGGAGAGAGGCCCGGCCAACGAGGCCTCCTGACCGCAATCTGGAGATTTGGAGAACCATCGCTCCTTAAATTAATGGGAGTGTTTGGAGGACGGTCTTGGGCATGCGTATCACAAGAAAAAATAGATGAGCAAGAAAACACATTTTCGGGGGTTCCCCTTGTGGCAAACCTAAAGGTTCAGTTCCGACTTCACCCCATCATCGCTGACCATGGGCCCTTGACTTTTTTTGGAAGTCGTAAACCAACTCAGAAGGCACCCTTAGCAGGGGGTGCCTTGGATTTCATTCGCTCTTGTCCGCTGATATGGAACTTGAGTGGAGGTAGCAGGGTCCGTTTTGGAGGAAATGTGTCTTCCAGGTATTCCAGGTGAAGTTTGCTTGTGGGTGCGACGAATTTCTTGGGCCTGAGAAACGTGCCCATGAACCTTAAGGGAAAACACCATGCGAGCTGGACTCGCAGGACATTTGGTTTCAAAGAAGTGGCCTCCCTTCACAATCGAGAGAGAGCCTACATGGCGAAACGGGTTCTCTTCTTGTTTGGGGTCACCTTGGCAACTTCTGAGTTAGGGTTGTTTTCAACTTAGCTTCATACCGTTGAATCACTGGTTTCAGGTAGCCCCTAGTTGGTGGTTTCGATTGGCTTGGAGATTTGACCCCCTGGTTCTCGGGGAATCCACCCCGGAAACGCTTCCAAACCAATCCAACCACCAATTAGAACTTTGAACATGTCACTGCGATTGTCTGCCAGTCCAAACGACAAAAACGTGCAAGCCCTTTTGGTGAGCCAGACTATTCACCATGTTGAACCCCCCGAAAAGAGAAATCGCTCGGCCCCTTTCTGTGAGCTATCATATTGACGGAAAGCACATGGATGGACGCTGAAATGCACACAGGGTTTAATCTACTTCTCTTTTTGGTACCTTCAAAAGTGGCGATCGTTTCAATGGAAGGCCACCCCGCAAATTCCAATTCACTTTTCATTGAAAATCCAGTGACATCTGCAATTCAAAGAACCCACCCGCAAATTCCATGATTAATTCCAATTCACTATTCAAGACACAAACCAAAAACAACACACAAAAAACGTGGCGCCGTGGTGACAAAAATAAGTCGAGCTTTTCGCCTGGGGAAAAAGCTAAATCGACGAGGAAGGCGGTGAGCCGGGATTCCCACTCGGTGCTGGGCTCCATCTTCCTGAACCCCTCGGTGGCTGCGGGCGTGGCCTTCGGCTCGGGGGGCACCCAGATCCACAAGGAGAGCGGCCAGGGTTGATTGGGGGGGGGGTTGGGGGGTTGGGGGGGGGAGGAGATGGGTGTGTTTTGCTTTGGGGACTCCAGGAGAAACTGGAGTGGCTTAATCTTGCAGCAAGTATGGGTGTGTCGCTTTTGCTTTTGGTTTCCCTGAAAATCCCTCCCTTCAACCCTCCCACCCCCCCCCCCCCCGGCTGAAGTAAAAAAGACCACACACACACACAAACAAAAACACGGCTACCCTCAAAAGACGGACCCAGATTGAGCTGAAGCGACTGCTGACCCCGGTGATTTATTTTGTGTCAAGCCGGGATAAATACCATACCCTCGCAACAACTCTAAGCAAAAGCTAAAATTGGAACGCCTGTCGTAATCTGTTATAATAGTGACTGTTCCACACAAGTCTTCTCCAGAGCCAGTTTTCTTGGAATCCACTTCAGGGGACATAGGGTGAGATCCCTGACTGACATGAACCTGGCTCTGCCCTTGGAACGGGGTTTGCCTCGTTGTGCCTCTCAACTGGGCCCCTTAAAGTTGGGGGGGGGCATTCTCATGGGTTCTCAAAATGTTCCTGGGAAAGCCCTTCAAACCACAATTTAGAGGGTGTGTCCTTTTGACTTTGTTGGGCCCACACTAGATAACGGACGAGACTAGATTTTGGCTGTGCCTTAAAATGAGCAAGCGATTCCTCCAGATGGGTGGTGTCCTCAAAGAAGGCACACACATGGAACATATCTACACATGTCAGATGAAGTATACATCATACTTGTCCACTTGATGCACTGCATGCGTTTGTCATTTACAAGTCTGTTACACAGACTTGAAGATGTACTTTATGACATGGTCGGCTTGTAGAATGACCATTCGAGTCAATTCAAGTTGCCGTGGCCCTAAGCTTGATGGAAACCATGCCATGGTTCCTTGTCTTCTCTCTGGAGCCAAGACAAGTTCAAGATCCCGGTCTCTTCCATTGCGGCAAAGTTGGCGAGACACAGTTCCCCGGGTTTTTGGTGGCACCCTGCAAGTCCCCTTTTTTTGCGGGGCTCCCTACTGAAAATGGTCAACACCAAAAAGGCGGTCCTGTTTCCACGAGGGAGGGTTAGTGGACCACTGGGTTCCCTACACTTCAACATCCAACCCAGTTTTTCCCCCAGTTATTGAAATCGCTACGCGATTCGCCGACGCCAGTGGCAGAGTCCCCCATTAACAAACTGCAGGGTGCCTCAAGTTTGGGGTCAGGAAAAAGACGTCTTTTGGCCTAGGTCATTCTTCATGTCCCAGATGCTGAGGATGCTGGAAATGCAAGGGATGCAGCCACACAACTTACAAGAACAAACCCAATCTTCACGCTCAAGATTTTAAGACTTTCACACACGCGACATTGACCAAACACAGAAAATACGAGAGTTGTGGGGAATGCTGGGAATGCAGCCGGCTAGCCACAAAAAAGTGCAAAAAACCAGGGTATTTCAATATTTCCCAAAAGCAGCCATCAAAAAACAATACTAGCAACCCCCGTCAAACACCCTAAGAATAGACTTCCAAAAGCACGATAATGCAGGGGATGTTTCGCAGTAACTGCTCCGTACAGTGGGAATTGCAAGAGAACTCATTTTTTGCAGATTTCAACCGTTCCTCAAGTGTCACTGCACTTGGCTTCACCCAAACCCCCAACAGGCCAATTCCAACATCGCTTGAAACAGCAAAACGCCACTAGTATCTGCAAAAGAAAGAGACAAATTCATGGCAACAAGATAATCCTGATGATGCTGGGGATGCAGATCCTGCGCGTCCGGGGGAAACCCCCCCCCCCCCTAGAGACCTAGGCGAAGCGCAGATTTCTAGCACGAAAGGCCCAAAAACACTGGAAAAATACAGGATTTTGGACACATAGCACAGCATACCCAAAAAATAGCAGTCCCAACAGCCTTCGGCTTTGATAAGAGATTCCGAAGGAAGACCAAGTTGCGGACTGCCATCTACACGCTCGACTGGCGTCGGCGGATTTGAGACGGGCAACGCATGCTGCATCATGCTCCAGTGTATGGCAAGTAGAGCCGAACTTGTGTTGTTTGTTTGGTTTCCCTTGAAACCACTCCCAAAGGATATCCTCGAAGACGGTCATACGTACACATTTGGAGAGTTGGATCAGAATCAGGGTGCATTTGCATTCCAAGGCTGCCAATGCTTCTTCCCCTTCCCGAATTACGACCTTTGCGGGCCCAGTTAAGATCCTTGGTGGGGGGTGAAGTTTTCAGGGGAATGCCCCGAACCCTCGCGTGTTTCCTCGATGCGACAGCCGAACATCTCACAGGGCCCGGCCTTCACAGAGCGCGCGCTTTTCCTGCGGGTGGGCCGCTCCATTGCAACCACAGGGCTCCATCTGCGTGTTGGGTTTGCCATCTGCAGGTTTCAAGACTGCCGCTTGCGCATTGGAGTCCTATTCTTCCCCAACGTTGGGCTTGCCTTGTCACTTTGGTTGAAGGGGAGCGGGAGCCCCCATTTGATGCCCAGGTGCAGGTGGTTTCTGGTTTCGGGTGAGGTTCCAAAGTTGGGCGTCCGGCCGTTTTATTCTCATCCTTGTTTGCGCGGCCTCATTGTCCCAACTCCGCAGGTTTGGGTAAGCAAGGCGGGACTTGCATTGAACTATGCGCTGGGCCGAGCCATCAGCCGTGTTAGAAACACTTTAACGTGAGGAATGCCGATTGCAGAGCCAGATGCTCATGCTTTTACGGATGTTGTTTGGCTTCCTCGGGTTGCAGAGAGTAATTCACAAGGGGTTTGTTCTTGTCTCAGAGCTACTCCGAGAACAACTCTCCTGGGACTGAACAACTTTGCACCAGCGCCGGAAAGGCGAAACAAGTTGGGTCTAGAGTCCTTTGGCTCTCGTTCGCCCTTTGCTTACTTCTTGCGGGCGGCGGATCCGGAACATGTTGGCCGGTGCCAACGGCAAAACGAAACAGTTCAAGAGGTTCCCCACGAAACGACTCGAAACACGAAGCCAAGCAATACATACACTAAGCCACTTGAGAACCACCCAACGTTTCATCTGGCTTGCAAATGGCTTTAAAGTTAGGACCCTCGTCTTTGTACACTCCGCTCCAAGGCAAAGATGGGACTGTGGAGCTTGCGACCTGGCTACGCAAGCAATGTACGTGGCATGTGGAAGCCTGGCGCGCCACGCGTCGGCGCGGAAACGGATGTCGCAAGTGGAAGAGTCCATAAAGCTATTTCCTCTTCAGAAAGGACCAACAAAAAAGAAACGGGCTTGTCATGTCAATGGCGCGACTTGCAGGGGAGCCGCTTGTTCGGACCTTGAAGGGTGGGCACGTCTTAGTTTCCCAGTGACCCCTCCATGTTGCTTCGATTCGTTCCCTCCTGAAAGGGCAAGTTTGAAACCACGCAAAAGGCGGCTCAGCTCAGCCTGTCTGAGGTGAATACTTTGGGGCTGAAGCCCCAGGATGATGTGCTATCCTTTCTGGAGACCTGGCGGGGGGGATTGGGGGGGGGGCGGAGTTGCCGTACCCGCAGGGTGATTTTTCTCGGGTGAGCAAGGCAAAAAACAAATTACCAAAGAGGACTTTGGTGGTTGAGCCCCTGAAGTCAGCCCCGTGGAATTGAAAGTGCACGTTCCGCTAGTGCATGCCATGGGTTCCAATGCCGGAGCGGGCGAGACTCCTGACTTGTATGTGTCCTCCTTTCAGGCCAGTGGCCATGCATGCGGCCACGGCCCCCGGAAGGACCACGTGTTTCACGGGCTCAGATGGATGTGACCCCTCAACTTGTGAATCAGGTTGATTTTCCTTCAGCTTTTCTTCGACACGGGGAAGCACCCCACCAATTTGATCCCGGTACCGCATCAAAGCGCTCGAATTGGGAACCTTGGGTGTGCTTTGGGCCATGTTCGTCACGGATCTGGCGAGTCATGCGCAGAGGGAGCGACCCGTTGGACAGTCTCAACAGGTGGACCCCATGTCTTCGAGCCATTGGTTACCCATTCAACCCTCACCCAGTGTGGTTTTTGGGAGACCCATGTGTTAGTTTGGAAGGGACCCCAAAAGCACCAGCCTTTTCGAGTGGCTTTACAGGGGAACTAAAGCAGCTTCTTTGAATAGAATGCGAGATGTGTCCAGCGCCTGTTCCTTTGGGGAAGCTAGGTTGTTGCTGCCTTTTTGCACCTAATACCCTCCGGCCAATAAAACAACAAACAAACAATGCGTTGGAACTCATCTCGGGTCACCCAACTAGTTTGCCCAAGTTGCCGACATTCTGAGCTCTTGGTTTTCCCGTTTTGGGTTCCCGTTTTTAGTCATGGCCCCCAAACGTGATCACCTTTGAACCAACTGGGCTGTTTTGTTTTCTGTTAAGGTCCCTTTCTTGCTTGGTATAAAAAAGGGGACACCAAAAGGAACAACAAAACCCGAGTTTGCGGGTCCAACTCCCAAAAAAGTCACCCGGTCCAAGCGAGCCACAGCTCAGGAGGAAGCGAAGGCGCTGTCGGCCAGTGACGTGGATCCCGCCTGCCGGCGGTCCGGGTCATGGCCCAAGTACCGGCAGCAGCTCTGCCAGCTGGATGCCAAGGCAGCGATGGAACGGCTACACATGGGCCTCGGTTTGTTTGCAGGTATTTTTTCTTCTTTTTTCTTTCGTGGGAAAACCCCAGGGAACCCTACGGATCCCTAAGGAACCCTAGGGAACCCGACAAAACTGTAGGGAACAGTGGGGAATAGTAGGGAACCCTGGGGCTTTGAACTACCCGGATTCCATACTTTTTTTGTGGTTTCACAGGCAATCCTAAAGGAAACCTGCATTTGTTGTTGGGGATCTCCTAAAGGAAAAAAGGGTCATCAATATCTTCCATCAGAATATTTGTGTGGTTTTCTCCTAGTTTTAAAGGGGGGATGTCTTGCGACTGGATGGAGGGCATGGATGACCACCCTGAGATCCCCTTGCGTATCGCTTAGCGGAGCAAAAAGGCTGGGGCATATCACCACTTAAGCAGGGTGGTCATTGCAGTTTCTTCGGGGACCCCGTAGTCAATGGATTCACCCCCTCTTCCTGGTTCCCCAAAATAAGAAGTAAGGATGCCGCTTTAAGGCCAATGACTTTGGGTGTTGAATCGGCGGTTGGCTCCGGATTTGCCAGGTTTCCAGGTACAACGCCGACACCACCGGCGAAGACTGCTGCCGCTCCGAGGGCAAGGCACAGCGGCAGAGTTTCCTCTGGGCCGGGCTAAGCTGCCAGCCAATTCAAAGTGTGGAGTCTGCACGACCATGTCATCCGAGCATCCCCACCACTGTAAAAATGAAGTTGGGGAGGGGGGGTGACCCGTGGAATTCCATTTATGGTTCCATCTTCCCTCTCCATGGGGAATACTCGATGAATGATATGAATGGGGGAGCGTGTCATCCAGTTAGCCAATGTTAGCCACTTCTTTTGCTTCGGTTAACGCCGCTGGTGTTTCAATCAGCGCTCTGATTACCTTTGTCGGGACTTTGGCCGTTGAAGGTGCTCATCCTCGCCACGATCCACGACACCTTCCCCCTACCAAAGGAGCGCTGTGCGTCCAAAGCCCTGGGGCTGGCAATCTGGGGGGTGAGCAGCAGACATTTCAAGCTGCCTGGGATCAAAAGCACTGCGGCTGGAAAGCTACAGACCCGCCTCAACTTGTACTGGGCACAGTGTACCAGTCCCCTCTCGAGCGGGCTACTCCCCCACAAATTGGCATGGAACCCAACTTGGGGGGGGGGTTCCCAAGGAATCTCCTTTGAACAATCCAGGCTAAACTACAGGGGGGGAGCAGTCGTTTTCCGACGGGCAGGAGAGCAAGACGGTCTGGATTTCCTGCAAAGACTTTGCCACTGCTCAGCTGATGAAGGAGAAGGCGAGTCTTCGGTCTACCGATTTTATGGCGAGCGAAAGCCTCCGATTCGCAGGAAAGTTAGCCATGATGTATAGAGGTCCTTTGGATCCGATTTGGTTTTCTCTGAAAAAAAAAGAGGCAGATCTCAATGCACTAGAGTGTAGGTCTGTGCTCTCTTGGGACCCGTTGGTGGCTTGGACGTGGGCCAGCTGCAGTGTCAAGGATACGGATATCCACCCGTTGGATTCGGGTTCGAGCAGATGCCTTGACCAGGACCAGCTACAGGACATGTACGGGGGGGGGGGCGGGAATCAGGTCTAAGATGGCGTTCCACCCACCCAGCAGACAAAAACTAAAGGTTTTCCCTAAAAGTGGGCGCATCCGCTGTTGAGGGTACCCTTTTTGTTGGCGAGTTGAATAAAAGGGATTAGCCAAAAGGGGGCAGCCCGAACACAACCCTCTTGGGCCCAAGTCCCAAAAGACAAGGCACCCGTTAAAAACATCAGCAGGTTCCTTTAGCGCGGGTCCCAGGTGGCCTTGGCCTCGGCGGAGTGTTTGCCCAAGCAGCTGGAGTACCTCAGCCGGGCGCAGTTCGATTGCTGCGACCAGGGGGGCCGCGTCCTCGTGAAGCTCATCGCCCCGCGGATGTGTGTAGATCCACGTGTTCCTATGAATGTTGCACACATATGTATACATGGCATAGATACATATAGTATATATGTATAGAATATATAAATGCAAGATATATATCATGCGTTCATGATGCAACTCCGTCTTCATCGTAGGCCTCCACGGCGTTGAGCCGCAAGGATTCAGGATAGGCCAGGATCCACCCGAACAAAAGAAAAAAAGAAAAAAAGTGATTTTGAGAACTCAAGATGTCACTTGCACTTGACGCAGTTCCTTGCCAAGGAAATGGTGGGCATGATGAACCTGGGAACCTTATGGAACTTCAAGCTGAAGTTCGAGTCGCTGCCCATTCCGTTTGCCAACCTCATCGCAGCCACTCAGTTGAAGCTGAGGGCTTGGATCGCCGGAGAGTCCATGGGCAGAAGTTTAGGGCATTGGCTCCATTTGGGAGCTAATTTCCTCAGGCCCAGCATGTCTATTATCTTTGGTGCATGTTGCCAAGGGCTGTTAGGACTTTAACTTTTTGCCAACTAGTGGGTTTTCCACTAAACCACTGAAAGTTAAACTTTTAGCAGGGGAGCAGAAAGCAACCGAGAATTTGTTTGATGGTTGGGCCCCCTTGCTTTCATGATGTGCGCTCTAACGGGAAGCCCGATCCAAGGACAAGATGCTGTGGTACTTGAACCCCATTTTCCCCGAAAGCTTGCCCAAGCAGATCATGAAGCAGGGCAAAGAGTTCGATCACCACCTCATCATGGAGATGACTGAGTGCCTTCTATGAGAGTTTCCGGCAACACTCTGGATGGACAAACTGCACCCGTGGGTAGATGGGTTGTCCCAGTATTCGTGGGTTGCGGGAGTTTTGTCCAAACGGGGGGGGGAGGGTTGGCTTGAAGGTTCCCCTTTGAAATTTGGCAAGCTTCTTTGTGGGTACAGGTAACGGTGCACAAGTCGGTCAACACCCTCCCATTCTCTCGCTCGCGTTTGCGGCAGACAAAACCGATGGCTTCTTTGGGTTGTGCAATGGGTGCCCTTTGTAGTCCCTATGCTTCCCCAGAATTGGTTCCCTTTTTTGTTTTTTGCTTTTTTGGGGTTCCCTTTGTTTTTCACTAGCCGGGCCAAAAAAAAAAAAACCTTCTTTGCTGGGGTCCTAATTCCAGCCAAGCAACTGGGTTAAGGATTGGGATTTGCCGACCCTCCATTTTGCACATCCCAGATGATCTTTTTGTCACTTGGACCGCAATGCACAAACCAGACTTTAGGACAGCCTAAAACAGTAAGCCTAAAAAACAAGTAGCCTCGAAAAGTGGTTGGACATGAATCACCAAACCTTGTCGATCTCCATGTCAGAATTTTGACTTCTCGGGTCTCGGGTCTCCTTACCCTCCCACTACACATGGACACTGAAATTTCGGGACTCGGTCTCTTTAAAAGCAAAACGGTCCAAACCAGGACCGCTTCCACGAAACGTCCGAACGGTTCCATGTGTTCATTGGCTGGGAGGGTAAAAATAGATGTCCAGGAGAACCTGAAGGGATGTGTATATTTATCTTAGGTAAAAAAGCAAAACGCACCCCAAACGGGAACGAGATCCGCCTCGCTCCCTTCCCTCCGCCCGCGGATCCGCGGAGCCGCTTTTCGAGGTTCGGGGGCGGGGAGCTGCGGCGCTTGGAGGAGGCGCTGCAGAAGCAGACGCTGAGATCTGTAAAGCCGAGTTGCTTCACCTCGATGGGATTCGTCTGTTCTTGAGGGCACCCCCTTTTGGATATGTACGGAAGCAGCCAAGGAGAAGAGATCCCAGATTTTGCCTGCCCGCATTTTTAGACATGCTCTGGATGGAAGATTCATTTCGTTCCAATTGAAACCCTGGGTTTCCACCATTGTTTGTTGGCATTCACAGGTGCCTCATATTTGTTTTGCCCGGCGGGGACAGTTTTAAAGATTCCTTATCCATGTGGTTGACAATTGGGACACAGTCGGTCTCGAAGGACTCGGTCCAAATCCTTTGGATGCGGTCTCACCCGGTCTCCTGTTTGGATGTAGACGGAAGTGGTCTCCAAAGGAATCCAACCCAGAAGCACAAGGAGGTTGTTTAACATAGATGTTTCAGCACATCTTCAGCCAGGGGCCGGCCGGCCATAGGTGTCAACAGAAGGTAGTTACTTAGTATCGGGTCTGTAGGTGGCCGCATTTGGTTCTCATTGCCAGGAGTGAGTGGCCCTCTTGAAGCGAGCATTCCCAAAGTGTCTTTCTTTTCGGTCACATGGAGGGTATGCCCTTCTTCACTAGAGAATTCGGGTCGTTGGCTGACAGGAGTCCTTTTAGATGCCCTACAGGGTCTGGAGATGTCAACATGACACGCATGGGTAAGTTTGAGGACTCCCCTGAAGTGCCTTGCCACACCGCTTTCCAACCTTGGAAGCTGATGTTGCCATTGCAGAAGAAAACACACCCCTTAGGTGCCATTGGGACGACATATGTTCCCTTGGCTGAACACATAGTACCAATGGCACCTTGATAAATGGAGAGACTCAAACACGCGGTTTCCTGCAGCTCTTTTGAATTTTGAGCCGCACCCAAATGGGCACTACCTTTTTGTGGCAACACAGTTTGAAGTGAGCCTCCAAGATGAACATGGAGAAGAATGTTCGCAGTTGCAACCCGTTGGTCCAGGTCAGGATGGCAGAACCATGTCCCTATGCCCCATTCACCATTTTTTTACCCGAAGGTCGCCTATGGGCAGAACCTTCTTTGCTTCCGGGGGTCGGGTGACCTTTGTTGCGGTTAACACTTGTGTTAAAAGTAACAACCGATAGCGGAAGGCATTTGAATCACACTCAGATTCGAACCTTGAGTGCCTGCAGGATGACACTGCTTGATTCATGCTCCGTTCGCCATTTTGGCGAATTAGCCAAATTTTCCTTTTCTTTCCGACCTACCTGCCCTGCCTGCTCGACCGCCATGACTGCTCCAGCGAATTTCGCATCCATCGTGGAGGAGTACCAGCTCATGGAAATGACCGAGCTCGACCCGGATTATGAACGACTGTACCGGGCCCTTCAGGACCATCTTTCGATCCTGCCCGAGGCGGTCGGTCCGGGCAACATCTTGCAGGGCAATCAGGTCTGCAACCAGTTCATCAACCATTCCGGCTGCAGGGGACGTGCACCTGCCTCTGCCCACCAGTGCGCCTTTTTGCATCCGGAGTTCGTTGATGCGCGTTGGATGCCGCGAGACAACATCTGTTACCGACATCTTCGACAACAGGCCCGGCATCCAGAAGGCTTTTGCGACAGTGGTGCCGAATGCCGCCATGTTCACAGCGACTCAGTCCTGCATGGTGACCTTCTTGCCTGGCTGCGCTTCGTGCACCATGCCAGACCCAACACCGGCGTGGGCATCCACTATGACACAGCCCACCGTGAATGGCGCTTCGTGTCCAGGCGGGAGGCCTTTGAAATCCTCCGCGACCACCTTCACGGCGAGTGGAACACGCCCATTCACCACATGAACGTTCGGTACCCCGATCCGTGCACCTACCAGATGCCATACGCGGTACCACGTGGCCCGCCAAGCACATTGAACCCGTCTCGCCAACGGAACAACACCCCCCGACAGCAGCGAGGCCGCTCCACACAACCGGGATACTCCCGAGCTATGACACCACCGCGGACCGTCAACTTCGCGACACCCACGGCTCGCGACACTCCCAGACAGGCCCGATTCCCGGAGGCGACCACCACATCGACCGGGCCCGTCCCGCACCACATGCCTTCACCACGCCCGCAACCCACCACACCATCCAAGGCGGCACCCCCCACACCATCCAACCAACATCACGACTTAGTCCAGTGGCTCCAGCCGCCAGGCATCGACCGTGACGACAGCACACAAGGCCTGCTGTCAACCCAGCGGGCCGGACACATCCGCGCGCGGGTACACGAAGATGCCACCTTCCTGATCAATCCGGAACTGCTACCGGAATTCCCCTCCGTCCTCGACCACATCGGCTTGCAATGGCACCTGACCAACTACGGCATCTTCTCGCGCACCCCCACCAATGTGTACGGCAATGACTTCGGGGGCCTTTTTCTTGTACCCGTGGAACCAACTACGCAGGTCACACCTCTCAGGAGCCTGCTGCGCTGGATTATCCAGCAACACGTTCACCAACAACTCCAGCTGCTCAACAGCGCCAACCGGCAGCACATGCTACAACAACTGACCTGTTCCTGGCTTACCTTCGGGAGGCAGCTCTGTCGCGCCTCCCGGCGAGACCCTTTTGTGGACAACATGGCAATCACCTTCGGGGAGACCATCATTGAGACAATTTCCAATTTCCTGACCCCCGAACAACGCACCATGGCGACCATCGAGGGCATCCTGCTCGGCCCCGACGGACACCTGCGCTTCAACCGGGAGCTCTAAGACTGAGCAGAGCCAGGACTCCCGCTACTGACCAGGCGGCACCGAGGAGTCTCCAAACCCGCCACCCTAAGTTGACCCACCAAGTCCATGTCCCGTGCGATGGTGGGCCAGCAATAGGGCGATGACCCTCATACCGCACAGGTGACACCCATGCCTAGGCGACCGCCTGAGGCCCCCTTTTCCCGAAGAGAGATCCATCTTCGGACCGCGCAAAAGCGCTGAGAGCCTCGAGCCCGGGTCGACCTTCTTCGTCCCCCCGTCCCCCCTGTTTGATTCGAGAGGATACCCCTTGACAAACCGACCCACTGCTGAGGCCCATACTGCGGTGACCAATCCCCACTCGCCTGCCCCGAACCCGACCGGTCTTTCACCCCACTTCGGATCCCCTGTGGATTACCCTCGGTTTCTTCGGGTCGGATCCCTGATGACAAACTGGCCGACCCCGGTCACCTTCACACCGCAGGGAGTTGGTCCTACGGGACAGCTCCACCCCTCGGGATGACATTTGTGCCGGTGTGGCGTGTCATCTAACACGACGTTTGTGCCGGTGTGGCGCGTCGTACAGATCCCCCCCATCAACGGGCCATCCTTGGACCCGAGTCACCTAGACACACCCCCCTGGCCCGACCAACCCCCCCCCCCTTTGACTCACACCCGGCACACTACCGACTCCTGCGTGAGTTCGGCAAGCGCCACCTCCAATTCCGAAGGAATTTTCAGGCTGGCTTTTGTGTATCCGATATCGCACCCCCTTCGCACAACATGGCACTTCGCGAGACCGACGCAGTCTGCGAGCTCCTCCTGCGGTCCTACAACACCGGCGTCCTCTCGAGGTTCCAGACCTTCCGCACCGAGAATCCCCGCCTCTCCACCACGGACGCGATCGACCTCTTCATGGAGTCGACCAACACCGAGCCGGACACGCGGACACGCTACCTGCTGCTGGACTGGCACAACCTGAATCCAACACCAGCCACACTGCAGTGCTCGTTCTGCCAGATCCCATACCAATCCCAGTACATCATGCCCCTCTGCTTCTCAGAGGAAACCGACTGGCGAAACAAGTGGGTCGGGGCGTGCTACGGGTGCGCTACCTGCGACACCAGTAGCGTGCCGTGGTTCCAGTTCGAGGAGCTCCTGGCCGACCCGAACTCCCTGATTGCAGAACACGCACCGTACAACACCATCGCAGAGCACCCCGACCTCGCGGCCATGATCAGCGACCATACCATCGCCCCACCGACCTTACAGATTGCGGTGCCAGAGACGGACGACGCTCACGACGCCTACATCACCGTGCACAGGTGGGACCAGGTCAACCGCCGCTGGATCAGGGTACCAGCCCTCGACGTGAAGAACCGCCGGCCATTCACCCTCGAGGTGTTCAGCAAGCTGTGCCGACGAGCATGGCGACGCCGCTTGGACTACATGACCAACAAGGCCGTCGGCACCATCCGCACGAACACCCACATGGACATGATGGACTCCTTGCGCGAGATCCACCCCGGAACCTCCAACAACCACCTCGCCGCCTCATCAGCGACCACTCCAAGTTCCTCGCCGAAACCATGTGCCTCGACCTCATCAACCTGGCACCCGAGGACCGACGAGACCTATTCCTCATGTTCCACAAATGGGAGAGGCAGCACCTCACCGAGGCATTGCGCGCAAACAGCACCGGGACCCTCCTTGAGTTCTTGGACTCTGACGACTATCCCACACACCTCACCGATTTCATCACCCGCGTCCTCCCGTCCACCGACGAGCACTTTATCTGCCGACGTCAGTCGTGCAAAGCGGTGGTACATTCGTCACATTGGCTGCGCGCCACCGCCAACATCACCGAGCACGGCCAGTTCTTCTGTCCCGAGTGCCTCCAGCAATACCACCCCTGGAAAACCTACAGTGACGCCAAAGCCGCATCCCGAGGGGAGGCCCTGACCGCAGCCGGCCAAGACGACACAGAACGCTTCGTGCCGGCCCAGAAGTGCCTCGTGGTACGCGCCACCGCTGGAGCACACGAGACGGACCAATTGGCAGAGGCCATCACCGGCGACGACGACCGGCGCTACATGCTCTACCTTCTTCGCTGGGAGGAGGACACGACCGGCAAGCTCATCCAACAGATGAAGGTCCACATCAACGAGATCGCATCCGACCTGCGACAAGCCAAGGACCCCCGCGCCTATCTGGCCGACATGATCATGAACAACATGCAGACGGCTCAGAAACTGCCATACATGCACAGGACCTTCTGGACCCA